TACAAAATCGAAGAACATGAAATCCGAAATCACATACAATTTGTCTGCCGACATCTGATAAGCACTTTTCCCCCTGAGATCCCTACCGTTGACTCTCATTTATAATGTTTTCATTTTAGAAAGTTTATTTCAAACCTGCACACATTTTACAATACATATAATGACAAACAATACATATGCATGGCTTGAAAAGGGGGTGGAAGAAGCAAAAGCTTATACATGTCCAATCCCCTCCAATAATGTGACTGGTGTTAGAGTATAGCACAAGTTGATAAGCTGTTATCAAATAAAGTCCTTTCAAATTAATTAAGTTATTAACTTGCAGCTCTGAAAAAAAAAAAAAACTTTTGAAAAGGAGAGACTCCCTTCTATCCAAGAGAGAGAGAAGCACAATTGGACAAAGTATGCCCATCCCCCACATCCGGTTTAGAAATTTAGAGGACAGAGCAGATACACTGCACAAATTGTTCTGATGGTCTTTATGAATTAAAGTTAATTAAGTAGTAGCATCTTTGGTGGCTTCATCAAGAAACGAAACAACGTTAAACACAACTGCTGAGAGCGACAGGACCAACCCTATCACCTGTGGAGGGAAAATTACGTTTTTAGGAGCTTTAGCTGATCTGAAGGAAGAGTGATTTAAGGGCAGTAAAAAGGACAAATGCAGAAAGAGAGAGAGAGCAGTGTGAGAAAGTGGAGTAAGTAAAGTGAGAACCAGCGGTCAGTATGGTCATATATTCATATAATGAGATGGTCTGATAATAGCTAAGAAATGGACTTTTAAATATACATCTAAAAATCCTCTGATATTAGTAGACTGACAGAAAACATACTGGTCCTCATGATGGGTATGGGACATTGCAGGCTAACAAAAGAATCCAAAACGACCCCCATTCCAAAGGGGTGGACCCCTTCGTCCGTTTTAAATTTGCATGTTTTCAAAACAAAAACAAGGTTTTAATGGACTACTGTATAAAATCTCGAACTCAGCACTATTCCTGACATTTTGAATTGAAAACGCTTCCTGGATGGGAAGCGAAACGTCTTCAAACTTGGAAACAAAGTCCAGTGGATGGTTTTTATTTTCTTTTTTTGGAATGACTATGACCTGGATGACTGAGAATCTTCACCAGCAAACATCAAAAATGGAATTCCGTCAGACAGATCTGATTCAAAGCTGCCTAGTGCTGTTCCCCTGATTCTCTCAGCTTAAGCTGTTATTGTTCTTAGTTCTGATTGATTGCTTAGATGTACCACCAACAACCTGATGGAGAACACAGAGTATTATCTGTTAATGATGTAAAAGTTTGCATTTTGATTAAAGGTATAGTGTTGGATTTTCGCAAATTTCAGAAAAGACCCGTCCTCTCCACTTAAAAAAAAAAAAATGCACATGCACAACCCAGTACCCGCTCCTGAGAGGGTACGCCTACTAAACATGTGTGAGAGCATGCAGGAGCCCATTTCTCCTCGTGCATGCTCTGTTTAAAAGTTGCCGTTTGCATCACTCATAAAAGCTTACTATCAAAAAGAAGACTTGCAATTTTTCTACTATGTCAGACTCACCACCGGTAAGTGAAAATAGAAGGACTTATGTAAACATATCACCAGAATGACTGACAATTAGGTGGACCACTTATTTTGATGATCCATCGGGAAATCGAAAATCTACCACTATACCTTCAAGGCAATTGATAGGTATTCATCCTTAAGATGTCTGCAAAGTGTGATATTATTTTTATAAAATTTAATGTGATCTGAACTGCTTCACCTGATTTTAACCACTTGGTGAGTTTGAGAGTTTTTGGACCTTTCTGGTGATTTATTTGCATAGCTATTAAATGCTAAATAATCATTTAAAATAGAATTGTCCTAGAAGTCACACCTTATCCATTCCTAAATAGCTGCAAAAACATACTTATTTGAATAATATATAATTTTGCTGAACCTAAAATTTTTTTGTCTTGTTTATTGACTGTAACCGATGATGTGGGGAGTGTTGGCCTGGTGGTTGGAGCAGTTTGCTTGTGTTCTGAAAAGGTTGCCAGTACCCAGTTAAATCCCCACAGCCTGCACTCTGGGTCCCTGAGCAAGACCCTTAACCCCACATTGCTCCCCGGGCGCCAAACAATGGCAGCCCATTGTTTCCCAAGGAAATTGGTTAAAATGCAGAGAGTGAATTTCCCCATTATGGGAAAATAAAGGGATTTACATTACATATAAAGGATGAAATCCAGTGATTCTCATCAGTGTTTTCTTTTATCTGATATTTCTCTACATTAACTCTTAGTGATTCAATCCTTTATTAGTTCCTTAAATCCCATCTAGTCTCCTTTCCCCGGTTCTTTTACTATCTTTCTTGTTTCAGTTTATCTTTTGAATACTGATGCAATCTTGAAGCTGCCTTTTTGATGTTTCATAGCTTCGTTTTAAGATGCCCTGTGTGAGTGAGTGAACTGCTCCTGGCGATCAAAGTCTTTTCTAAAGTAAGTAGAAATGGAGGGGCTTTTCCAACAATGTTCACTGAGGTGGCCATAGTTACATAATGTTTTTTTTTATATAAAAAAAAAAAAGTATAAAATAATATAACAACCTGTTAGAGGTAAGGACATAAAGGCTCCATGGCTAACAACAGCTCCAGTCTGGTAAACTTTCTGAGGTCATGCAACATTTCAACACATCTAAGCTGCAGTTATCTGGGACCCACAGAATTACAACTGCTGTTCAGCTTCCATCTCAATTTGGATGGATCATTAACACAGTAAATTACACCATTGTGTGATAATCGAGGGCATGCTTCCTGACACTAAAGTATGCTTTTTAAGTTTCCTATCAGACTGATGCTGGAAAGTGTTACCGTAAAATGTTCAGTCTATATACAGAGAGAGAGAGAGAGAAATATAGAAAAAATAACAAACCTTTAAGCTAAGCTATTCAAAAAATAATCTTAACAATTTGGGTGGTAGTTTTTAGTTGAAAAATAATCTTTTTGTTTTAAGAAACAAAAATCGGTCAATGTAGTTCTTTCCCTCTTGTAAAATTAACTTGACTTAATGTAGCAAAAAATATCTATTCTATTAGTAAATAATGTACAATCTTGTATGTTATAAAAACCCTTGGAATGTTAGCAATGCTGGGATCTTTTGTTCTACTCTTGAAGATTTTTCAAAACCAACTGATAGAAATTTTGTCACAAGTTTAGGGAGATTTTGTAAACATTTTTTTATTTCACTCTACGAAACGCCACCATTTACCCAACCCCCAGCACCTTCCAACCTCTTCCACAGTCCAGTTGCAATAACAGGTGGCTCGTGGGGGTTTGGGTGAGCTCGACCCAGCAGCTGCACAAAAGAACCCCACCAGAGTCCTTTAGACAGCGTGTCCCCTCTCAAGCGTGCCAAGGCGCCTCTGGCCCTGCCCCCACCCACCCAGGCAGATGCTTTCAGTGATCCACAGGTGGTAGATGAGAAGAGACGCTGGACTTCTTTTGTTATGTAACATAGATCATTTTAAAGGTTAACCTTTTTTGAAAGTGATTTTATACTCCTTGTTAAAAAAAAAAAAAAAAAAAACGTAATCAGGGAACACAATAAGAGTACAAGGTGTTGTAACTTCACAGATTACCTAAAGGGCTTCACAACAAAATGATGTAATGAACTCCAAACTTCAATGGTTTATTGTGATTTTATGTAATGGAGCAACAAGTGTGTAATTGTGAACTGAAAACAATTATAGATAACTTTCAAAGTTTAAGAGTTTGGCAAACATTTGAACTCAGCCCCAGAGTAAAACTGGATTAAAATGTAAAAAAAGCCATGCCTTAGTCATATTCGATATCAGTTTACAAGCCTTGCCATGTCTTCTTTTTCTGCCCTAAAATGAAGACTTGCTCATCATCAGCTCATGCATCTGCAACCTGTCCTAAAGCTTAGAATGGGGAGGTGCAGTAGGCTGCCTGTCTCTACCCAAATGTTGACCGCCAAGGTTCCTAACTAAAGGGGTATTTTAGAAGGACCTAGCAGATGCATGGCAAGGGAAGTATGCAACAAGTGCTAAGTTAACTGATAATGATGAACTAATTAACTGCAAACAAAGCAATTTCATTATATTTGTTTACAATTTTCACTTTACCATATTGGGAGGAGTTGGGATTGCATGTTTTTTTTTTATTCATTGCAACAAAAATCATGTTTTGGAACAAATCAAAAAATAAAACAGTGTGGGATCTGAAGTTTGAATTCTCTAAATGTTAATTTTGCACCATATTACCCTGTGCCTCCAGAGGACAGCAGAAAGTATCAAAGGGTGCCATGAGAACATATCCATGTCTAAATTTTAAATCCTTAAAAATGTCAAATGTTAAAGTCTTGAAGACTTTAAATAAACCATTCAGTGCCTATTTGATGAAGCTAATGTTTGTAATTTGAAATATAGCAGTTTCAATCTTTGTTTATTTCTTTATGAATTTACATAAATGTATCTACGTTTTTAAAAGCTGGAAATAACTTTAATTTAGGAATATGTAAAAAGAATAGTTAAGTAACCCCAGCAGTGAGCTGATGTGAAGCTCAGTGTGAAGTTGGGGTACATAATAGAAATATGCTTGGTTGGTTCTACACAGAGCACACTTTCTTCAGATATTTTTGTACGTACGCAAATCATTAGATTTTTTGTATACACAAAGTAGCAAATCTTAAAAATGTGCGTAAATGAGGTCCCCAAAGTTTTGCAGGCAAATGAACCAATCTCAACGCAAGGGGGACATATTGTTTTGTTAAATTATTGAGAAATGTGTAATCCTCATCCATATTTTACTGGTGCAATAAAATATTACTTTTAAATACTTTTCGTGTTAACCTGTTTTTTTATTTGATTAAAAAAATGATATACGTGTCGTGGCTGTGACCTAAAAGTAGCAGGTCCCCCCGGTCCCATAATGGTACAGTCCAATGTGGTGACCGAAATGATCATCCGGAGCGGCGCATCAGCTGTGCGGCTGTCTGGGACTTCGAAGCATTTCTTCTCCTCCCACTCTTTTTATTCCCCCTATTTTCCCCCACAGGCCATCATTTTAACCAACAAGCAGCATTTTCAGGTACAAGTGTTCCCATTATCGCCTTGAGGGAATTTTTATTTCCTTTCTGGACTCGTTTGGGAAAGGATTTCCTGGCTTTTTTTTTAAACAACTGGAGAGACTCGACCAAGTTTCCCCCTCCTCCTGGTCTCTGCCTGAGGAATGAGAGGATCGCTGGGGAAGAAGAGCCGAAACTCTCAGGTCTGAGCGAACAAAAGAACAGAAACGGAGGGAACTGCTGCCGAAAATGGAGGAAAATACTTTCCCTGGAGCAACACGTAAGTCTTCACTCACCGGTTAGTCTGAACGTTTCATCGGTTTGTTTGTCATCCATCCAAATCCCCACGTTGAAAAGAAAAATTTCCAGAGTTTTTTTTTCTGTCCTTAGAGGTTCAGCAACAGGATAAAGAGGACACTTTGCTCAAAAAATAAACCTTGAGCATTAATTAAGGATGCTAACTCATTGGGGTGCCATGCTAGCAGAACATTTAACCCAACGTTTTTAAGAAAAAATGTTACTGCGTTTGCTTTTATTTTATTTCTGTACAACAAACTCCAAACAATATGCTGTGTGTTCATCCCTCCAACCGCCTGATGCAGTCTCCATTCATTGCGCAGAAAGCCATGAAGGTTATTATAACACAATTTGCTGTAGATGAGGTAATCTCAGCAGTCCCACCCCATCCCCCTCCTTATGTTAGGATTACATCCCCACTAACACCATGCAGTTGTTAGACTGGGCTTCATCTCTCAGCAGAGGATGTTTTCCAAAGTCAGTGATGCTCAGGTAGAGAGGAGTATGGAGGGCGAAGAGTGTCGCGGTGAAGGTCACGTTTAATCTAAAACTTCAAACGTAAGATTTTTAAGATTCATAAATAAATAAATAGTACCAAAAGTTATTTGTTTTTCCCCACTGTTTAACGTTTTTTGTACAACGAAGTATTAGGGCCAGGCTAGAGATTTTTTTTTCCACAATAAAGCCGTTACATTGCGAGAATAAAGTCATAACGCTGCGAGAACAGAGTCATAACGCTGCGAGAACAGAGTCGTAACGCTGCGAGAACAGAGTCGTAACGCTGCGAGAACAGAGTCGTAACGCTGCGAGAACAGAGTCGTAACGCTGCGAGAATAGAGTCGTAACGCTGCGAGAATAGAGTCGTAACGCTGCGAGAATAGAGTCGTAACGCTGCGAGAATAGAGTCGTAACGCTGCGAGAAGAGAGTCGTAACGCTGCGAGAAGAGAGTCGTAACGCTGCGAGAAGAGAGTCGTAACGCTGCGAGAATAGTCGTAACGCTGCGAGAATAGTCGTAACGCTGCGAGAATAGTCGTAACGCTGCGAGAATAGTCGTAACGCTGCGAGAATAGAGTCGAAAAGTTACGAGAATAGAGTCGAAAAGTTACGAGAATAGAGTCGAAAAGTTACGAGAACAAAGTCGAAAAGTTACGAGAACAAAGTCGAAAAGTTACGAGAACAAAGTCATAGCGTTACAAGAACAAAGCCTTAGCGTTATGAGAACAAAGCCGTCATACCACAACCTGTGTCAGAAGGAAAAGTTTTGGGCTCCGACCGGCATACGATGGCCGATCAGCACCACTAAACAGCAGAGTTCACTTTGACACACTGACCTTTTTTGCTGTTGCGCTTAAAGATTTCCTTATTTTTCAAACCAGAGCCAAAGTATAACTTCACATGATGCTCGACATTCCTCATTTTAGGGAAGAAAGTTCGACTTTTTTCTCGTAATATTACGACTTTATTCTCGTAATTTTAAGGCTTTATTCTCACAATGTTACAACTTTATTTTCGTAATTTTATGGCTGTTCTTGTTGTGACTTTATTCTCGTAATCTTACGGCTTTATTCTTGAAATGGAAGAAAAAAAAATCTCTAGCCTGGCCCTAATACTCCATCATAGTTCTGGACTGAATATATAGGTGTACATTTTTTACTGATTAAAAAATCTGTGCAATTATTGTTGGGTGAACTTTTGTGTTACTTGCACAAGATTTATGTTATGAATATTTAAGTTGACATTTTTTTAACAATACGTTTATTGTTGGCTAAGTATTTGTTACTTTGCATAATATATTTTTGAATAAAGTAAACCTATTTTGAAATACATGCATGTAGTTTTTTAAGTACTTTAATTAAAATTGATTAAAATCCTAATCGTCCAAGATGACAAAAAAACCCCAAAACAAGTTTTTTTTTTTTTTTTTTAACAATACGTTTATTGTTGGCTAAGTATTTGTTACTTTGCATAATATATTTTTGATATAAGTAAACCTATTTTGAAATACATGCATGTAGTTTTTTAAGTACTTTAATTAAAATTGATTAAAATCCTAATCGTCCAAGATGACAAAAAAAACCCAAAACAAGTTTTTTTTTTTTTTTTTTTTTTAGCCACTTCAAAGCTTGTTTGTTAGACAGAGACGGACTTGTAACCAGTTAAACTTCACAAGCAGGATCGATAATTTGGCCCAGAGCAGTGATGATCCGCCTCTTTGATTTTGACACAAATGTAAGGAACTGTGAAATTATTTCATGGGAACAATTACAGTGCAAAACTGATGATGCGGTACAGCAGGAGTTGTTATTTCTAAAGTTTTCCATGCTGTTGATCAATCAGTTTTGCTTACAAACTTTAATTTTGAAAAATGATCCCAAAATGCTTTGCACCGAATAAGCCCTAATCTGTCTAATAATAATATATGGGTTTGGATTAATGGCATAATGTCATCATTATTGCTTGTTCTATGGAAGTGCAACAACGATCAATATCAGGGGGCAAATTGAAATGAGGAAAGGAACATTGGTAGATAGGGATCCATATATATTCAGTTTTTTTCCTGCCAATTAATTTTTATCCTTTTTTTCTTTAACGACTACAGATGGAAATTGTTTAGTAGCTAAGACTGAATTCTTCTTTTGAGAGATGAACGATTCTAGTTCTGTCCCTAAATTAACTATTAAGTGTGAAACTTAATTACTGATTTATCTGTTTCCGGTATTATTTATTAGTTACTGGTTTGATGTATAATCAGACACTGTAGAAATCCCTGAAACCTCTAAACAGTTTAATGAGATCATGCTTTGAGCCAAGCCTGGACTTGGTGTGAGATTTCTTCATGCATTTCTAAACTCTGATTACTTCAGCAGTCAAAGCCAATGTCATGCTACTTATTCAGCTGTTGCAAATTCTCTGGATGGCTGCCAAGTTTGAAGTCTTTCTCTCTAGTACAAGCAAACTATCTGATGTTTGGAGCTTCATCGAAGCGTTGGAGTATTGAGATGCTGCCTGTTTTCTGCCAATAGAAGGGGCCACTCACAATGTGACCTCGTCCCTCAGACAAGAAAACTTCCTTCCTGCTGACGAGGGGGGGCTTCGTGGAGGGTGGTGAGCTTGTTTTGGCTTCCCATCAAGCGGGGTGTTAGATGTGTTCCACCCTGTTTTGTGGGAATCGTGATCGGCAGCCTGCTGAAATGTTCTAAACGACACAATGTGCATGAAAACTTGGAGCCTAGATGGACATTTATCTTGTTTTCTGATTTACAGCAGAGAGACGCACACAATGTTTCATCATGTGATGTTTAGTCTGCCAGTCATGCTCATAGAGGTTCAAAGGGTGTTTTTTTTTCTTTTGCAGCCCTTTCTGAAACATATGAGGTACGCAGTCCATTTAAAAACAAAAACTTTCTTGCCTGTTGAGGTTTATCACATTTAGACAGTTAAAGTTTGATAGAAAAACACAGAAAGGTAAAACGTTTGAAGTGGATGGAAATCACACATAAAAAATATATATATATATATATATATGCTACAAATCTTAGGTTTGCATTTGTTATCTGTCCCATTTACTCTGATACCTCTAAATATTACCTGTAGTCAGTTATACTCGGGGTTGCCTCGTTGGAAAATAAAGCCCTGCATTGTGTTATGGTACAAATGTTGTTTTTCATAATTTATTTTGAAAGAACAGAGTTGATGGCTTAAGCTGAATACAGATCATCCATTTTTAAATGGATGTAAAAGATTTAAGGCTGAGAAATGGAATCATCCTAAGCCCAGACTTAGAGCCACGCCTAGAATACAGTTATTTAGAAATACATAAGACATAGTGGTATGAATGAAAAAGTTATTTCTTCGCCCTTTTCAACTCTTTTTCTCTGTCATATTATGTCACCGTAAAGAGCTTGTGTTTAGGATGTGATTAAATCAGGAAAGAAGTTCAGGGGGTAAAGATGTTTGCAAAGGGCCCATCTATAGACTGTTACATCTGACCTATAGTGGATTTTGTTATGTTGATTTCTATTCTTGTGAACCTTTTCAGACGGTTTAATGATATCCCTTTAGAACACAGAGCTGCTTTCTGAATGTATAAAAGAGGAATACTTAAATTTTTCTTACAGAGCCTTATCTTTGATAATGTATCTCCTTAGCCTCCTTAAACATGCTCGAGCAAGAACACCTGGATGGCTTTGAATAGCTGGGATAGGCCTTCCTTTGTGGAAATGCAGCCACTAGATTGTTGGTTTTATCCCTCTCTTTGAAGAGGCTTGTCTTTGGACCTGAGCTGCTGACAGCTCCATTTGCAGCCCTAAGAAACCCTAAGAAAAAAAAAAAGTTTATTTTTTGGGTTTTAATCTTTTAATCCCTCTTTTTTATACCTAGTCTTTATTCTTTACTAGATGTTTGGATATGACAGCCTGATCTGTTTAATTGCAGAATCTAAATCAACCACGTCTTAGAGGAGCGAGGACTCCGTTTCTACTTTTGCATTAAAACTGTTTGGGGGATCTTGTCTGGATTTAGGTGCAAAAGGGCCACACTGGTGCCAGATATCAGGATGAAAGTAGGTGATGAGTCAATGAGCCATCGTACAGACTTTATGTTGAGGCTCCCTCACCACATGTGTCATGAAGAGTAATCCTGAGGGGGAATCCACAGCTTTAGCTGTCAGAAGTGCTGTAAACAGGATCAGTCAACTATGCTTTTTCAGCTACAGGAGTTATGTAAGGGGGGGATGTATTGTCCTTTTTTGGAGCAGGTTTGAGCCCCTTTGTAAAGAAATAATGAGAGGGAACTCAGAGACTCTCCTAGTTTTACAGCCTAATTATAAATCCTTATTAGAACAGAAAGGAAGTCTTTGTTTAGCAGCGGAGCTTAAAAATGACCTGAAAGTAATACTTTGGTAAATACCAGTTCATTGTTTATGTTGCTTTGACAGGTTACATGTTACATGCTGCAGATAATAGGGCATATATTACTGTCAT